TTTTTTTCTTTATTCTGACACGAGCGATGTCAGTTCTCAATAAGGTCCATCAGCAGAGGGCGGGTACAATGCTAGTTTACTATTGGCTATTGCAAATTGAAATAGCCAATAGTAATGTACCAATGCTTCTCAATGGGAATTTTTCTTTTTTTCTATTCTGACATCGCTCGTGCCAGAATAAAGAAAAAAAGACACAGCAGTGTTTCTCTCCTTGGCGGCCGGGTGCAGGAGACTCCCAGAGCGCCCGGGAGTTTTGTTTTTTTCGACAGCAGCAGAGCCGCCGGACAATAGGAAACTATTGGGCGGAGCTAGCTGTCACTGCTAGCTCCGCACAATCGTTTCCCATTTAATAGTGTTCGGCTCACTTCACTTCGGTCATTCACTCGGCTGCCTACGGCTGCTTAGTGAATAGACCCCTGCGTATCTTGTAATGTAGTTGTTTTTTGTAATATGTGTGTGATACTGTATACTGATATAATTACTCCATAAAACATTTTGAATATTTTTGTGTACATTAGTTAAACCTATTCAAGCAATTTCACAGCATTAAGTCAAAGATGAAAACAATATAAATTGTAAAATTCTAATATTTCCAACACAGAGATCATTTGTCTTAGGGATTGATTTACAGCATATGGCTGGGTGGAAGATTTATCAATAGACCCTTTAGACCTCATTCACACCAGAGCGACAGCGTTTCAGTGCTTTTTGTATGTATGTTTTACAGGCGCTTTCTGTTCATATGTAAGAGCAGTTTAAAGGCTCATTTTCAGTTATCCAGTGAAAAGCCGGTTCAGCTGCAAAAACGCGTTGATCGACACGCTATGGAGCAAAACGAGCGGATAAGCACCACAAAATAAGCTCATAGACTTCAGCAACGGGCATATTTTTACTCAGCATGTTTGTGTGAACAGCCCCCATAGGAATACATGGGATTTTGATTGGCATGCGTTTCAGCGCAGAAAAAAATGCACGACAAAGCGCCTTGGTGTGAATGAAGCCCTATTATTTCAATCAAGTCTGACTGTTATTTTTAGACAATCCATTCAATTAATTGAAGCACAAAAGTCAATGGCTTTCCACTGCTTTTTGGCGAGTGAACACTTACAACTGTGTTAAAACGATCAGATCGCAGTCAATTGAATGAAAAAAAAAAAAAAGGATTTCTTGTACTCTTTAGACTGTAGGCCCTCCTTACCATCTTGTCTTCCTTATATTGTAAAGCGCTGTGCAAACTGTTGGCGTTATATAAATCCTGTATAATAATACTCGCGGTAAAATTCTTTTCACTGCATTGAAGGACACAGCAGAGATTTTGAATGTTTTGCAGTCTTGCCCATTAGAGTTCTTATGTGGTAACGGGGCAACCGTTCAGAGAGGCCCCCCCATGGTTTAATAGGCACTCTCTATTGGTAAGGACTGTGGAATGTCGGAGAGATTCAAGATCTCCACTGTGTCCTTCAATGAAGGGATGAGAAAGGAATGTTCCTGGGCAGGAATACGTCAATGTGTCTGTTTGATCAGGGGTGTCATTTCTTCAAAATCATTGTGGCAACCATGGCTGTGCCAACCTTAAATGCACATCTTGGACAGAAGATTAATTAAAATCCGCAAAACATTTACATATTTTTTTTTAAATCTGAGACCCGGTAGAATAAAATGGTTGCAGCTTTAATTTATAGAACAAGATAATTTCTCTACGTTTTATAAAACCTAATAATACACAAACTTTAGTGCACTCAAAACACAATAGAATACCCAACTTTAATATAAAAGACGAGGCTGGGTTGAGTAAATGGATACAGCTCATCAGTTTACAGTAAACAATGGTCCTAGAATTATTTTCTCTCACTCCGGCATGCAGGGAGATGCCTACGACGTAGAAGTTATCGGGCGGCTGTAAAGAAGTAAATCACTTCTCATACATAGCCGCCACCACAACAATAATAGGGGTGAAATCTTCCAGAGGGGACACTTGTCTGGTGAAAAGAGGAATTTCCCTTATTTTTGAGACATTTTCTCTCGTTTCCTCTTGGGTCTATATGGCAAGTTATAGTAGCATCATAAAAAAATATAACAAAAACATGATTTTCTTGTATATTTTACAAGAATTACTTTTATTAAAGTAATAAAAAAGGTAAACTCACTCAATATACACAACAGTTTTGCTTTATCCAGCATGCTCTGAAATAACGTGTTTTCAAATTCAGCCCAAAAACACTCGCGCACTAGATACACAGTACCCACAATATTTACATTTATTTGCTTTGCGGCAGCACGCTTCCATTCTGTATACTCTTAGGGAGCCCAATACCGGACTGATATAAAATGTTTCACATTTTTTCGTTTCCATTTACTATAAAAATAATTATAATCACATCCAGGAAAATTGTAAACAAATATAAGATAAGGATGGTTGTCATTCTACTGCAGCTTCCTTCTGGTCTGTGTAATTCTTCATACTGGTCTGATAAAAAAAAAAAAAAAAAAAAAAAAAAAAAAAAGAGAAGGACATGAAACAGTAAGAACATGCCAATTAAGTGACTCTTAAAATTCCAATGATCCCACTCTAGGCAAAGTAAGTTTATTTTACTAGACAGACAACTGGCAGGCTGTAGTTACCCCATCTCCGCATTCCTCATTCACCATCAGAACACATTCCTATGTAGGTCTTCTGAACAAACTGAAATGTACACAGGGCTACGTTTACAGCCCCCCACCCCTTGTGACCCTGCTCACGCACCCAGTATTACACGGTAGGAAGGCAACAGGTGTGGCCAGTGTTCCCTTTACTCTGAAGTACTGGGTAGTTCCCAGTCTGATGGCGGACAAGGATGGTAGTTGGAGCACAAGAATGGAGAGTTCCAATTCTCAATGCTCACGACTGTAAAATGAACCCGTTACGTTGCCTAGTAGAGGTAAGGTTATGGGGATACTTAGTCTACTAAGAGATAGGTGTACAGTTGCACAAAAACTGAACATTACTTTTGCGACCATTGCAGGAACACAAAGGCTGCAGTAAGAAGTCTGACCCTGCATGTGTATAGCCATGCCCCACACATCTTAAAACTCAAGTTGGGCTTTCAAGCATGGGTGCATCATGATGGGCTGAATGTCTTCAAATTCTTTACAAAAGCCAAGAGGAAGCAAAGCATGACCATATGACTTTGTAAATGGTGGGACTCTGCATTTAGCCTTGCAGTATAGCACGAAGCTGCGACTGTTATTAAGCCTCACTACCATGTAGCTTAAACCTCAGGGAAGCTACGGCTTCATCAATTCCATATCACAGAATACGGTGAGAAACAGACGGCAGGAGTTAAACTGCACGTGCCGACATCTGCTGACTTTTCAAGTGACTGTGAAAGCTCCACTATATTAGCAGCATGAAGATGACTCTTTTCTACAGCAACTAATGCTCTCATGTAATAAACACTCCTTGATGCTGGGAGATTTCCATCCCGAGGAAGACGCTGCCAACCTGCTTACACAGCAAAACAAATTGATTTGTTCAGATAAAAAGGCTTGAAATAGTGTTGCTGTGTTTCCCAAGGATTAAAAGCAAGAAGACGCTAGGCTGGCCAATGTAGTGTCACTTTGCATTATCTGAGGTCTCTGTAGGTAATTTGCATATTATAATACAGCATTGATGTAGAAGAAACATTTTATGATCTCACCTACACAGTGGTAGCTATAAAGAAACATCACATTTACAAATACACAATATGGGTGCAGACTAAAGATATAAGGTTTCATGCATAAGAGTTCCGCTCGGCATAACCCATTCGCACGGCACTAGAGCAACTGGATGGCACTGATGAGTAAAGAAATGTCCTAAACTAAATGTCCTCAGCACCATCTAGGGCCGCTAGTGACAACTGCAACTGATGTTATGAGCATACGTCTACGCAATTAGTGCAGCAACTGTCAGACCTCAGGGGGCCTCTTATGATTCTAAGCTTTGACTTATCCTCCTTATCCTCAGAAAAACCAAGGAAAGCTGAATAAGGAGGAATTTAAAAAAGGAAATTCTCCACAATTATACTGATTTAAGAATGAGGCTGGATATACACATATGCACTTTTGCAGAGCATGGTTTAATTTACTTGGATGTAAAACTAAAATGCACATCATCCGAGCCTTAATACTTATGATGTTTAGACTGGTGGCGGCAGAGAAGAGGAAGCCATCAACTGTCTTCCCCACAAACCACTGGAGATATATAGTCATCTGGGGCAGCTGCTTGGGGAGAAGAGAGGAAGTAAAACTGCTTGCTCAACAGACATCTGAGCATATGCACAGAGAGGCAACGCAAAAGACAGAAGAGCGGAGGATGTAATAGTGTTGTCACTCCGGATAAGGAAGTCCAGGATCAACCAGGTATTTAAATGCAATGCATATAGTAAGGAAGGAAAGGTTAAGCACACAGACAATAGTTTTGGATACAATGACAACACAAAAAACAAACTTGGGGGTTTACCGACACCTCAAGTCCATAAACAGGAACCTTAGTTTATGTAAATGACAAGTTTAAAGAGTTTGTCTGTGCTGTGTGCAAGTCAGAATGATCCTCAGCTGACATGAATGGATACACCTTAGGATAAACGTTCTGCACAGGTAGAGCTTGTGGAAGGTGGCCAGGATAGGGCCTTCAAACCAGCTTACATCTATTATGACAGCAGTGTATCCCCCAGTCCTGCCCCTCCACCCAATCAGGCGTCTACATTACTATACCTCAAATGTATCCAAGACATGCTGGCAGACATCCAGGAGTTCAGTTAGTCCTTTTCTGAATGGTTCAGTTGCAGAAAGTCCATCTGAAAGCAGAGACCATTCGAAAATAAATATAGCACAGCGCAGAGACGTCAGAATCTAGTGGTTACTGATTTCCTATTTCAGGAAGTGGTAAATAGCAGTCTCTTGTGAGTGACTACTGACCGATTTTGGAGTAAATAGATGTTTTTGCAATTAAGAGTTTTAAAGTTAAAAATAAAAGTCAATCAGATACCCACACCAATCCACTCAATGACAAGCATCTCCTCCTACCGCATTCCTTATAGTGTATTTCCACATTGGTATTCAGATTTGAGAAAACCCCTCTATATGCTTATTACATGTTCCCATTCACACAGCATGCCAAAAATGATTTCTTACCTTTTAGATGTTTTGTTGTAGCAGGCAAAATGGCTGAATTCAAGGTTTTCTAGGCACCTTCACAGTGATATGTCCTTAGGCTGGGTTCACACCACATCATCTCCAGACCAGATTGTTTCCGGACCCAAAAAATGCATCCCCAAGTTATTTTTATTTCACACCAACGCAGTCCATTCCAGACCAGAAAAATACTGCAGGTCCACTTTGGTATGGAATGCACTGGAACGTATCACAAATGCACTGGACCGCACCTGAAAGCCCATGTTAAAGCAAAAAAAAAAAAAAACAACCCGCTTCGAAACGCGGCAAAAACACAATGCAATATGTTCTAGATCTGGTCTGGAAAATGGTGTGAACCTGGCCTAAGGGCAGGTTCACACCATTTTCTGGAACGCATTGCGTTTTTACCACAATTGGAATTATTTTTTTTGCTTCAAATGGTCTTAGAGGTGCGATCCAGTGAGTTTGTATGCGTTTGATGCATTTGTATGCGATCCAGTGCAAGCAGTATTTTTCTGGTCTGGAATGGACTGCGCTGTGTGAACAGAGGCCAGAAATAGCATAGGGATACATTAGGAAGCACTTTGGGTCCAGAAACAATCTGGTCTTGTCTGGACATGATCCAGACATGGTGTGAATGGGCCCTTAAAGAAAGACTGAGGACAGGACCGTGTGGAATGTGCTTTTTTTTAATTATTATTAACATACAATGCAGAAGCCAGGATTTAAATCCTTTAACCCTTCAAAATCATAATGAGTCAGCCAGCACAGTACAGACAGGGTTAAAGGAGAAGTATTGGGAGAGTAAAATGTACTCCTCCTAATACTAAGAGCCGACGTGTGACACTGCAGTCGTCATACGCAGGCTCTATAGATCGAGAGTTGTGTGAGCACAAACCACTGATCACTCAGCTCCTGGCCTTCTCACTGCAGAGATCCGCGAGTGTCAGTCACCGCTCCCAACAGGGATTCCCCCTTCCCCTCTATTTATTCTTCCAGTGCTCATTGGAGGGACAGACAATGAAGGGGGTGGGCACAGCTAGCACTGGCTCTAGAGGCAGAGCCAGCTGTCAATCAGGCAGAAGGGTGGATCCTGACAATATTGTTGGGATCTTTCCCGGCTGCAGAGCACCTCTGCGCTGCGCTGTCAGCAATTAGAGGGCAATAGCCGGCTAGATGCTGACTGAGTCACGTGAATACATTAGTAAATGTTCTCCTTTGACCCAACGAGGACTAAACCCCCCTACCAAAAAAAAAAAAAAAAAAGAAGAGGAGATTTGGCTTTAGTCCTCTTTTATCAAACCGTTCACAGCCCTTCCTAACAGGAAAAGCCAAGTAGAAATGTTAGCAAGCAAACAAACAAACTATTTAAACTGCAAGCAGATTTTTTTTTAAAATATTATACAAATGTAAATGGGATCACAAATATAAAATAGGGGTTATCCCAATAGGGGGCAAAAGCGGAAATACACTTTTAAGAGAACCAGTCCAAATTGAGCTACTGAGGATCAATGGTCCAGAGCGAGTAATCAGGAAGGAAAGTCACAGAGCTTGCATCTTTAAAACAGGATTTGTACATTGCCTCTATAGCTGCCTGCATCACACAATAGGCTGGGTACAGATTGGCCAGCTTTGGATCACAATACACGAGACGAGATGTTGCACACAAGTATTACGTACTTCGTGTTTGGATGCGGAAATTAATTTTGCTTTCGGAAGGATGGGTGATGCTGTACCCACAGAACTCCACTTCTGGGCTATAGATAAGAAAACAGATGTAAATGACCAGATCCTGCTAACAAGGAGTATATTTCCAAATATATCACTTCACAAACAAAAAAGGTACAACCCATCATATTCCACTGCAGACACTCACTTCTTCATGACCATGTATCGCAGAGGATTCCCTAGAGTGTGATCCTCTTCATGTAAGACGAACGTTACACATGACTCATCCGTTCCACTGGCCTGGACCTGAAAAAGAAAGCCCAGTCAGAACAATATGGCTGCTTTAGAGTCCATTTACACCAGGACGGCTGCGGGTCAGTGCAGTTCCATTGAAAGCTGTATGGAAACCGCACTGATCAGTGCAGCAAAAAAAGGGTCAGGGAGCAATTCAGGCGGGGGTGGGGGGATTTCAGATCGCGCTGAGCTGCACGGTCGTACGAATGGTCCCCATAGCAATGTGTGGGATTGTTCATGTCGGCGGATCCGGCCCGGTGTGAATGGGGCCTTACTCTGATCGGTGCGAAGAACATCCTTTGCCCCTTGACACAGCACAACAATCTGCCCCCAGATCCTGAAATTTGACAGTCAGAGTGTGAACGAGGAGTTCCTTCCTATACCGTGTTGTTTCACACACAACTAACATGTGACAAGTAAATGAAGCAGAGAGCAGATTGGTATTTCTATATACAGTCCATCCATCACCCTTCCAACCCATGAGAAAAATGTCCACATGATAACCGAACGAAAGTCAATGGCGGTTGAATCTGCAAGTTAACGGGCCCTCTGTTGACTTGCAATTTTGGTGTGAATGGGCCCTTACATATGTGCAAATATGGATCAGAATTAGGCGCTGGATGCAGCTTTGTTTTGTACGTTAAGTTGCTGAATGTTACAAAACCTTTCTCAGACATGTATAGCTGTGTAAATGGACCTAAAACCTTCCGAGTACAATACTATATACATGTGTATGCCGTGTTTTTGGTGCCCATCTGAATGAGCCCTTACAGTGATAGTGATTTTCCATGTTTTCTATCCAACAGAACCTAGACAGGTTTGTTTTTTTAGCTTCAGATAAGAGTGGAGAACATTTGTCAGCTTCTTAGTGCAGTCGGATTTGCCTCACTTCCTGTTGTCACTGATACCAGGGCAGAGACGACACTACCCAGCATAGCTTTGGTTGAAGTGGCCTGTAATGTGAGGAACCTGACAATTCAATCCAGTCACTTTCTAGTCACAGCCGTATAGTGCCACCTTGTGGCTGATACAAAGAACTGTTTGCAGCAGACAGGATTGTGCCAGGACAAGCACAGCAGTGTAACACACACACACACACTTTCCCATGCAATGCACCTAGGATGCAGGTGCTTCCCAGCAATGTGCAGCAACACTACCATGCGTTGTGGTGCCCAGTGTCAGGGGAAAAAGTGTTTGTGTGATCTGTATTTGCTGTCTGCCTCTGTTGGTGAGATTTCTCCTTCTCATTGTGTCTGACATCCGATAGACAAGAACAGAGAGAACATGTACACAGCACTTCACACAATGCACATCATTCCCTCAAGGAGCTTACAGTCCAGGGTCCCCCGCACTCACATACAGGGGCCCCCGGACTCACATACAGGGTCAGTTTAGGTAAGAGCCGATTAACCTTCCAGCATGTCTTTGAAGTGTAGGTGGAAACCCCATGCAGGGGAGAACATGCAAACTCCATGCAGATAGTGTCCTGGTCAAACATGGTTTCAAACCAAGGACCCCAGCGCTGCAAGAGAGAAGTGCTGATCATTGAGCCACTGTGCTACCCCACTTCTGCCATAGCCAAACTCTTCTCAGTAGCCATATTCCTGTAAACCCAGGAGGTGGACAACTCCAGCCCTCCTGTTGTTGTGGAACTACAAGTCCCAGAAGGCATTGCAAGCCCATTACAGGCATGACTCCCAGAACAAAGGCATGTTGGGGTTTGTAGTTAAAGCGCAGCCAGAGGGCTGGAGTTGCCCACCCCTGCAGTAAACATACACTAGCGGGGGTCCTGCTTATGATTGGGGAATCAGCAGGAGGAAGCTCCGAACACTGCGGTGGACCCCAGAGATACACACTACCAGAAGTGTCAGCTTCCCCGCAGACTTCAGAGGACAGCAGTTACAGAGTGATGCCTTGCAGGCAGGAAATATGTATACTGAAAGAAAACCTCAGTCAGTTGTCACCAGAACAGGAAGAGAGGCAAAATCCTCCAATGGGGACACTAACTTTGGCGACAGTTAGGGATCTTCCTGTTGTGGATATGAGACAGGAAGTGAAAGGAAATCTCCCCAATGGGACACTGATGGCATAAACCTTCCTTATGCTATCCAAAACTAAACAGAAATGTTTGGCCTTTATTTCCACGTTACCATCTCCAGCACCGGCTTCTTCTCCGCTGCAGCCGCCATGCTTCCACTCAGCACACCGGTGGGATACCAGCCACGAGATTTATCCGGAAGTGACGTGAACGGAGGGCGGAGAGGAATAGGCGGAGCGTAAGGCGGGTCAACAGTGACACAGCGGTATGAGCTTAGTGTCTGTGCACGGGCAGTGTAGGCGGGGTAACGGGCGATGTTGGTGTTTGGTCACGTGTGACACAAGCATGCTTGCTGACCTATGTTCTATCACCTTTCTGCGGTCGGGATTTCTCACGGAACACCGGGACAGTCACGAATGGGATTTGAAATTGTCCCTAGTGAAGTTGCCACTACTTCAGACCGACTCTATTGAAGTGTGCCCACAGCTCATTAATATACATGATTTGCATTTAAGGAGCCAGCATTATGTATGTAAACATCGCAGCTCGTTCATATGTAAATCCCGTCCCCAGATATCCGGCTCATCATCACAGTGCTGAATACTCCCCACTGGAGGATGTGCGCAGTGCTGCCTGTCACCAGAGCCAATAAACAGGCAATGCATTGCATATGAAAGGGGCTGCGGCAGAGGCGAGCTTGCTTCTGCACCCCCTACTCTGATTACTTTTGCACGCCGAACTATGTGAGGTACAAAGGTGACCAGGAGGCTTTGGGGGTGCAAAGTTGAACAGGGAGGGTTTAAAATGCAAAAGTCAGTAATTTGGGGTACAGAGGGGGTGTAGAGGTAAGCACAGAGGGGTTTGGGGTGTAGAGGTAAGCAGAGAGGGGTTTGGGGTGTAGAGGTAAGCAGAGAGGGGTTTGGGTTGTAGAGGTAAGCAGAGAGGGGTTTAGGGTGTAGAGGTAAGCAGAGAGGGGTTTAGGGTGTAGAGGTAAGCAGCGAGGGGTATAGGGTGTAGAGGTAAGTAGAGAAGGGGTGGATCAGAATGCAGAGGTTATCAGAAGAGGGACTGTCACTGTAAATCCCCCCTTACATTGGAGGTCAGTGTAGAATCCCCCTTACATTGGAGGTCAGTGTAGAATCCCCCTTACATTGGAGGTCAGTGTAGAATCCCCCTTACATTGGAGGTCAGTGTAGAATCTCCCTTACATTGGAGGTCAGTGTAGAATCCCTCTTACATTGGAGGTCAGTGTAGAATCCCCCTTACATTGGCGGTCAGTGTAGAATCTCCCTTACATTGGAGGTCAGTGTAGAATCCCCCTTACATTGGAGGTCAGTGTAGAATCCCCCTTACATTGGAGGTCAGTGTAGAATCTCCCTTACATTGGAGGTCAGTGTAGAATCCCCCTTACATTGGAGGTCAGTGTAGAATCCCCCTTACATTGGAGGTCAGTGTAGAATCCCCCTTACATTGGAGGTCAGTGTAGAATCCCCCTTACATTGGAGGTCAGTGTAGAATCTCCCTTACATTGGAGGTCAGTGTAGAATCCCCCTTACATTGGAGGTCAGTGTAGAATCCCCCTTACATTGGAGGTCAGTGTAGAATCTCCCTTACATTGGAGGTCAGTGTAGAATCTCCCTTACATTGGAGGTCAGTGTAGAATCCCCCTTACATTGGAGGTCAGTGTAGAATCCCCCTTACATTGGAGGTCAGTGTAGAATCTCCCTTACATTGGAGGTCAGTGTAGAATCTCCCTTACATTGGAGGTCAGTGTAGAATCCCCCTTACATTGGAGGTCAGTGTAGAATCCCCCTTACATTGGAGGTCAGTGTAGAATCTCCCTTACATTGGAGGTCAGTGTAGAATCTCCCTTACATTGGAGGTCAGTGTAGAATCCCCCTTACATTGGAGGTCAGTGTAGAATCCCCCTTACATTGGAGGTCAGTGTAGAATCTCCCTTACATTGGAGGTCAGTGTAGAATCTCCCTTACATTGGAGGTTAGTGTAGAATCCCCCTTACATTGGAGGTCAGTGTAGAATCCCCCTTACATTGGAGGTCAGTGTAGAATCTAGAGCTGCAGCTAACGATTATTTTCAAAATCGATTAGTTAGCCGATTATTAAGTTCGATTAATCGGTTAATCGGATAAACAATAAAAAAAAAATGGCTCCAGTGATGGACTACTAGTTTGTATTGAGATTGTAGTCCATCACAGGAGCAAGCTTGGAGCGGTGGAAAAAAATAGTGTGGTGTGCAATATAGTGAAAAGGAAAGTGTAAAATTATACAGCAATGAATGCAGAATGGCACCGACTATAGAGGACTACAAAGCCCAGCAATAGTACATTATACAGCGCAATGCAGAATACCATCAACTATAGAGGACTACAACAAATCCCAGCAATAGTACATTATAGCTGGTGGTATTCTGCATTGCGCTGTAAATTGTATTATTGCTGGGATTTGTAGTCCTCTATACAGTGCAGTGCAGAATATCACCAGCTATATAGGAATACAACAAATCCCAGCAATACATTATACATACAGTGTATAATGTATTGCTGGATGTGTATTCCTATGTATAATATACAGCACAATGTACCATCAGCTATAGAGGAATACAAATCCCAGCAATACATTATAGAGCACCATGTGTGGGAAAGTGCAGGCTTACCTGAGCAGTCTTCCAGCAACTTGCTTCTGAGATCGGACCTGTCTATCGGCGGCTGTCATCCCCCCACACCTGCTCCTCCTTACTACATCTCCCCGCGTCCCTGTGCCGATCGTGGATGTGGGCGGGCGGTGAGTGTGAGGCGGGGAGGAGGTGCGGCGTGAAGAGCGTGGATGCGGGCGGGTCTGGCAGCGGCGAGCGTGAGGTGGGGAGGAGGTGCGGCGCGCAGCGTGTGTGGAGCCGTGAACAGGGCCAACTGATCGGAAGACGATTAATCGATTATTGAAAAAGTTGACAACTTTTTCAATAATCGATTATAATCGATTATGTCGATTAGTTGTTGCAGCCCTAGTAGAATCTCCCTTACATTGGAGGTCAGTGTAGAATTCCCCCCCACCCGCACTGTGTTCCAGTGCAGACGAGTGATCGCCTGCACTGTAACGCACGGTACAGCAATGCCGTGCGTTCCACTGCAGTGTGATTGCAAAAAATGGTGCATGCAGTTTTATTCTGATGTAAACTTCATGTTTGTAACACTTCATTTGTGCATTTTTTTTTAAATTTAGCATGGTATTTATTCAATTTTTTTTAATCTGATTAATCTAAAAAAAATAATCAGCCAACGAATTACTTATGAAAATAATCATTGGTTGCAGCCCTAGATTTCAGAGACAAGGCTGGAGATTTTTTAGGACTAAATAAGTGTAAGAAACTAAATGAGGTGAGAGGAGCTACTGAAATCCCAGAAGAGCCTCCAGAAATTAGAAGAAGGAGCTCCTAGGAATCCAAAGAAAGGACTCAATCAAGGCTTGTGAGAGAAAGAGGAAAAAAAACAGTCATATAAATTAAAGGAGAACTATGAGGTGAGTGAAAATCACTCAGCCTTATAGTTCGAGCCGACGTGTAACAATGAGACTGTCACAGGTCGGCTCAGTAGATCGGGAAGTGAGCGAACACATACCGTCGCTCGCTCACTTCTTGATCCTGTCCCTGCAGAGAGCCGTGACTGTCACTCACTGCACCCTGCAGCGATTCTCCCCCCAACAGCGGGCTCTGCCTCTAGATAGGCAGAGCCAGCTGTCACTCACGCAGCTGGGTGGTTCTCAACAGTAATGTCGGGATCCGTCCCGGCTGCGGCGATCTCAGTATACCGCGAGCTGCAGCTCGTGATATACTGAGCTTTGGGTCACGGGAGGACGTTAGTTTATGTCTTCCCGTGACCCTTAAGAGAACTATAGGGAAAAACACTTACCCCATAGTTCTCTTTTAAAGGAGAACTATGAGGCGAGTGATTTTTTACTCATCCTCATAGTTCTAGCCGACCTGTGACAATGAAACTGTCACAGGACAGCTCAGTAGATCGGGAAGTGAGCGAACACATACCGGCGTTCGCTCACTTCCCGATCCTGTCACGGCTCTCTGCCGTGACGGGAGGGACTGGATTCCCCCCTCCCCACTCCTCCAGCGCTGACTGGCAGACGGGGGAGGGGGCGGGTACAGCAGGCTCTGCCTTTAGATAGGCAGAGCCAGCTGTCACTCACGCAGCTGGGCGGATACAGACGCTAGTTTGTGTCCTCCCATTACCCCAAGGAGAACTATGGGGAAAAGCCCTAACCCAATAGTTCTCCTTTAAACATTTCTGGAAAATTTGATTCAGGAAGAAAACATAAAGTCAGGAGAAATCCATCAGGTCATTCCTAACTACCAAAAAAAGTGAAACCCCATTGTGGTAGAAGAAATTAACTTCCCACAGCCTTCTCCAACAGAGTGTGTGGAAGGAGAACAAGGAGCAATGTGATATGTTAGGTTATGAAAACAAATGCCCATGTTTAAACCATGGCTATATGGCATTCGCCCTGTGTGAATGAGGCCTTCAAATATATATACTTTTTTTTAGGTGTGCAGATTAGTCAAAGAGTTGTCAAGTATACTTATGGCTGAAAATTTGACATGGGCATCTAGGCATCAATAACCTCTGGTCATGTAAGGACCAAAGCATGCATTCTCAGAGTTACATGTACTTTCTTATGTTATATCTTATATTAAAAATGTATATTTTAAGTGCTGTCCTTTTCTTTTGCCTTGTGGAAAAAAGTAATTTCCACATTTCAGATGTACCGCCGTTGCCGTGGAAGTGTATGTTAGCATTAAGATTCTCCTCTCCCTTATGGATATTCCTTTTGTAAGCATCAGCATCATAGTCCACCGTGCTGAGATATCGGCGAGAATTTCCGCATTCCAGGGTGATTATAGAGAACATAAAAACAGAAAGCGAAAGAGCTGCGATTGCTATTCCAAATGAGGAATGAAAGTTTGTGTACGGCTTAGACATTAACCCCGACAAAGCTCTGCCGTCACAAGCGGTGCTCAGATTGCTCGCAAATATTGTACAATATGTGGCCATTCTACTCTTGGGAAGCAACTTTTTGGGCTCAGTTTCCTTTCTGCAATGTCAGACATGTAGACTTGTGTACTGTGATTTCTCAAATTGAAGATATCAGCCTACTTTGCACATGCA